AAAATGTATGGGTCAAGAAAGGAGAGGAAAGAAAATATACCTGTTGAATTAGAGGGCTCAGTTGTTTCTGATGTGAATTGAAAAATTGCAAAGTGTTGCTTAGTCACCATTGCTGTCCATCAGTGTTAATGTGCAGCTTACTCCAACTAGATGTGAACCACCTTGTGTGAAAAGCAATTCACAAGTGAAATCATAGATCCTAAACCCTCGGGGTTCAGGCCATTTTATTATAATCCAATGATGATTACCACACAGACTTTACTTTCCATTCAGGTAATATAGTTTGGAAACTCATCTTCAGTTTAAACCTGAGTGTTCCATATCTGAGCAACATTACTTTGCTATTTTCAGATTTGGTTTCATTTATGATTGTGTTATGTAATAGCATCAAGATAATCAAACCATGACAGGATCTGTTTCAAATTTCCTAGTGAAACGTCTCAATATGAGCACTCTGCTGTTGTGTTACACAGTAACTCTGCCCTCATTATTAAAACAAAAAGTAATTTTGTTGAAGGAAGACCATGTAACATCAGAAGGAGCAAATTACATATCTTGCATTCTCTCAACTTCTCAGAGTTTTGGAGTGGCTGAACTCTGTGATTCTGCTTCCATCAACAGCCCCAAAGTACTCTCAGGTGTCAGACAGGTGAAGGGAAAATCCATACAGCCAGAAAGCCAGTGAAGGGTTTAATTAAGTTTGCCAGCAGTCGTCTGGGTTTCAGTGCACTGGCTTTCATGGGTGTGCACAGGCTTGCAGCTTGGGCTAGACTGGGGGGATTAAATCCAGCACAGGTTTGCTGGCATTCACTGCTGAGTCCTCCTCGTCTGTGATGTGGCTGAAGGACATTCAGACTCTCCTTAAAAACATCTTGCAGTGCAAATGCAGTCAAGGCCAGAATTGCCCTACCAGACCTGCATAAGGTGTGCTGTTGTTGGGCCCTCACCCTCCCTTCTCTAGCCTGTGTGTCTTGCAGCTTCACTCCTTGGACAGCTCTGAACGCACAAAATATTTTCTGTGGAAGAACATAGAAGGAGCCAAACAATTCTGCACACACAGCAAGGACACACAGGTTGTCTTATAGATAAAGAAATAGGTTTTGGCCTTAGGTAAGGTACCCTGGGCATTATGACCTATAATGAGACAGTGAACAGAACACTTTCATCTGCTCCTCTAACTGAATTTACAGGTGGCTGACTCCTGCCTCTATTTTCAGTATTTTATTCTTTCCCTTAAACCAGAAAATGAAAATATGAGTTCTCTTCCTGGCTGAGATTTGCATATTCATTAAACATTTCATTAAACTATTTCACAGCATTTTTAATGATGCTCACTGGCAGCTCAGGATGTACCTATCTCATGGCAATCTAAATTGGCAGTTTTGACTGATTTGAAAGGGCTCAATCACCCCTACCCATTGCCAAAATGCAGCAGTGTCAGAGAAGGGCTAAACTTCCAATAGGCACTTTACCATTGCAGGCTGTCTACCCTTCAGTTCCAAATTATTCCTAAATATTTCCATATTCAGCAGCACCAAAATTATCTTCACAAGCATACACACACACACAATAGGAACGCTTATGGGTCCTGACATGTCGTATTCTGATTTATATTCATGGGTTTGACACTAAGGTTTATTTTATGTTTGTATTCAAAGACTTCATTAATAGGAAATTAGCACAAAATACAGTCAAATAATAGGAAAAATATAAAATTATGGATTAACTGTCTTTTTAATATCTGATTTGAATCCCTCTGGTGAAGTCAACATTTTCTAGAAAATAACCTTATTGAATACACTGGATTATGTTATATGTTCCTGGCTTTTTAAGGACATCTATAATAGCTGGAAGATTAATCCCTTCAAACAAGAAAATAAATTACAGTATTAATTTACTGGGTTTGGCAAACCATGTGAAAGGCTGCCTCTTCTGGGGCGTTGTGTAGAAACACATTGATGGTGTGCAAGTCCAGCACCGCGAGGTGAGATTTGTGTAATCACAAGGTAGTTGCTAAATCAAGAAAAAATAGCATAGTGATAAAACTTCATTTGTTCACTCAAATGCTTATTGATTAATGTTTATTTTCTCCTTTCAGCTCAATAAACATTTTGTGAGAAAGCTAACTGCTCGTGACAAGACAGTGTATAAGACTTGGCTGTAAATTAAAATTTGTTTGGCACTGAACAGGACATTTGGCACTGAATGGAGTTCAGATAACAAGTTTAGATATGACGCAGAGAATGAGGTTGGATATGGCTGAATATTAAAAAAACTATCCCTTTAAGTTCATTAGGGATTCAATTTTTATCTAGGTTTTAAATGCCTGCAGGATTTACAACTCTGGCCCTCTCTCCTAGGAATTTCATAAATTATACTTGGATGAAAAAATAGTATGTTATAATAGAAGGTTTTTCAAATCTTAACAAAAAGCAGCTCTATATGTTTGGCTCTTAATAGTAGGAATGAAATAGATGGCAGTAGAATAAATGTATTTTCTAGGATTTTTTTTGCCCACTTTCTCTCCACATCTCTAATTTTGTTAAAATATTTTAGAGAAGCATTGCAGGTAGTAGCTTCTAGTGTTGAAAAACAAATATTTAGCTTTCCTAAGAATCATACATTAGAATATTGCAAAGTCACCCCCAATAATGTCACTTTGACTGGAAACAGATTCCAGGTTTTTATCTTTTACATTAGTCGTGCCTGAACTTGATTTTTAGTGATGATCATGTAGATATAAATTAAGATAAATAGAACAGTAACACTGTCAAAGTTGACTTCAGAAGCCTCTTTATACCTTTTAATAACTTAGACAAAAAGCATGTGCTGCTATGGATGGTCTGGTCTTCTGATACCTGTTTTATTTACAAAGTGGGGAGTGGAATAGATCTATCATGTAATATCAGTAACAAAGTAAAATTTGTGAGGCTTATCAGTACTTTAAAGTTTGCTGTTAAAATTTTCTCAGGTTCAAGAAAAGCTCTTTATGTTTTTAATGTGGAATGGAATATTGTGCTAAACTCATAATTGTATTTATCATTATGTAGAGAAACTACAGTGACATGAGCATTTTCTAGAACTGGGAAATTAAACAAATTATTACTCTCTATCTGAAGAAAATTAGTACTGTCATTGCAAGGCTATTACTTCTATTCATTTTCAGTGCAACAAATTGGTTTTGCAAGGTTTTGTTACTCTTCCCTCCCACCCCCACATCTGTCTTGTCTCTGCTGAGCTTACGTTACTGAAGGGCCCCACATGCATTTTGTCTATTTTAGGCTCAAAAATAAATTTTCTTACAAAGCATATCAATGATGTTATTAATCACACAGTGCCTTTATAGCGTTTTTGTGTTAACTGTATTTTTGACGCTTACTCTTATGTTACTAGGCATAATTATTCTTTAAATAACAAAGAAAATTATGTATACATTTATACATTCACGACATTTGAAGACTATTGTTTCCTAATGCAGGTATAAATCATTGCTTCTTATAATCTTTTGAGTTTTGTCAATGAACAGTGTCATAACTATTATTAAATAACAGGCAAAAAGCCTCATCAGTAACATGACTTTCCTGCAGATGAACCTCCTCTGTGTATCACAGCTCTGCAACTCCGTGTTGAAGAACAAAGAATATTAATTTGCTGTGATAAATGCATGGGATCACTGCAAAAGTTAGAGCAAATATGAAAATAAACTGACATGCAGCCCTGATAACACTAGAAGGGTTTGTTATTACTAGTTTCATTTCTGTTCTCTATTGCCCTTTCTAAGATCATCTTTCAGCAGGGAGATGCTCCTGGTTGAGGCTCAGTTAAGTCTTCAAATGAATCTGTAGACTGGACAAGGCTCCACTAACAAAGTTGAGTTCTGTTTAAGATACATTATTGTGTTATGACTGATAAAATACATCTTAGAAATTATTGGCTTTAATATGGAACTCTACATTTGTGAAGTCTGTGATTTTGCATGTCTCGTGTACCAACCTGTACTAGTTTGGATATGCAGTGCTTGACTTTTAAATTTATGGCATCCCCATGACATTTCTCAATGTGAAATGACGACCAAATTTTCTGTCTTAATTCCCCTATGAAGTGGCTTGTTAGGAAATGTATCCTGCTTCCTAACCCAGACTATGCAAAACCTGTCAGGAAACAGAATATTTGGGTTTTTTAAATGCTAAGAAGATATTTAAATAAAGAACAATATAATTTGCCACTTACATTACTCACTGTCCTCTGGGCCTCTTTTAGCACAGCATTGTTTGCATTTCAAACTAGTGAAAGTTTTGAGCCATCATTACATGTTATTAATTATTTTTTTTTTTTTTTAATTCTACAAGTGGAATGGATGAGGTTCAGGAGAGGAATATTTCAGCCTTTGATTAGTGAAATTCTTGGGTTCTGGTATATCACAATTCATTGATATTAGAGTAATTTATTACCATTTAAAAAAACCACATATATTCCCACTTTCCAAACCTCAGGGTCCCTGTTCTCTCACTGTAGTCTTGATATGAAGCATCATACCATTTTCAAAGCTGAAATGACAACATTATTTGTATATGTATAAAAGCTGTTTCGGGTAATTTTTGTAAAAGTGATTGAATATAACTCCTTCCTACTTTCCAGGACCATGTTATTGGATTCATAATACCAAATGGGTCAGGATTTATTGTGGTAGGATACATAAACATTAAGAATCTCAAAAATTCATACGTAAAGGATAGAACTTACATAGTAATACACAGCAGTTTTATTGTGCCTAATTTGGAATGCGCACAACCTCTTATATCCTCACACCCTTTTAAGTGTGACCTTACTTTCTGTGAGGGGGGGAGTTTAGCAAGACGATCCGAGAGGAAAAGGCTTATTTGGGACTAAAGGGCGCCGGTTCTGCCGCGCTGAGCGGTGACAGCCCCAACGGCAGGGGCGGGGAGCGGCAGCACCACCAACGCTCCCGGACCCGGGGTCGTGGCCGCCGTTCCCCGGCGGGAGTTGAGCGAGCGCGGGCCCGTTCGCTGACCGGGACGGGTTCCCGCACCTCGGGGGCGCGGCCGTGACCTGCGGGAGCCTCTGCCACGGGCACACCCGGGCCGGGACCCCCGGCGGGACCCCCTCGCCCCGCGGGAGGCGCAGGACCCGCGGCGGTGCGGGGACCCCGGCCCGGCGGGGCCGTGCCCGGCGCTCGGAGGTGCGGGGAGGCTGCGCCCGGTGAGTAACTCCCGCAGACCGCGGGCACGGCCCGGGAGCGCTGCCAGCAGCTTGCAGGGATTCCCCGCGGGAACGGCGGCCGGGTCTCCGTGTTTCCATCGCCCCAGGCGGCTTCGCGGCGGTGCCCAGGGATGAGCAGGGAATAACCCGTTCCCCCGGCCCGGCGCTGCTCCACTGCAAGAGAATGTGCCCCCAGCCCTCCAAGGCATCTCCGCCCTCTTGGGCGGTCCCATCCCACCCCTCCTTTCCCGGCTATTTGCTGCTCCCTCCGCCCGTCGCCTCGCGGGCGAGAATGGTCCCGTTCAAGTCTTATCAGCTGTGTGCTGAGCGCCTCCAAAATATGGGGCGGAGGCACCTGATGCTGCCTGTTTAACCACCTTTGTTTAACCTGCACTTTATCAACGGTATCCGGTGTATTTCCTCCCTGCTTTATCTTCTTGCTTTGTTGCTGGCACTTGTTATCTTTCACATATTACATAACGAACTCTACAATACCCGAAGGGCGGAGGAGGGTCACTGGTTTAAGTGCCCTGCTGGCAGTCGGGTCAGGGAGCGGTGAGGCTCCAGCTGGAGCGCTGTGGCAGCTCCCTGCGACAGCGTGGGATGGCCCGGGGAAGCGACGAGGGAGTGCTCGGTGGGGTATTTAAATAGCGCTAACGAGGAGGCTGCATCGCCCCTCGGTGTCACGGGTGACCTCTTTTCAGAGGGCTGTCAGCGACAGCGTCTCACTGGGATGGTGTTTTAATACTCGTTCACACTTGTGGCGAAATGGTATTTGTGCCGCTCCGTTTTTCTGCCAGCCTTACAGGTTCTGCTGTTGTCACACCGCGCAGCTTGGCGCTTCCTTCAGCGAACTGAAGAGATGTACAATTCCATTCATAATTTTCTTCAGTCTGTCATCTCTTTAGCTCTTTTTGAGTGCTGGCAATGAAGTTAAAATATCTCAAACTGGTGCTTTTACGTCGGTTTTTAAGACAGAGAACACAAAGGGCTTTAAAAAGCATAATCAGGGTAAGAGGAAACATTTGTTTCCAATGTGTTGTAGATGTGAATAACCCTGGTTTTCATTTTCCTTTTGTCACAAATACACTGAGATCACAGAGGATCTGGAAGAAGCAGAGACCTCCAGGTGGAGTTTTCTGATCTTGCATTAGCTGCCCTGGGAGTCCAGATGACTATTGAACTATTGATCCTTCTCCCCTCTCTGGAAAGGGTTTTGCAGTGCAAAGGAATAAGTCCTATGGATTTTTGCCTTTTTTCTTCCCTCGGGTAAAAGTCTGTGTGTCCCTTGCAATGAGTGGTTAACAGGTGTGTCACAAGATGATCTTGTGTGGAGAGATTTCAACATAAGTGCATTAAAACTTTATGTGTGACTTCCTGTTCTGTGGGAGCAAATGAGAGAATCATGTACTTAAGTAAGCACCTCTTCTAATAAATCAAAATTAGGCTTGTCCTTAATGATACCTTAAAATAGTTTAGATGCCTTTGTGCTATTAGGACAAAGCACTCAAAGCACTCAAACTTATCTTACATCTGCATTGCATGTTAGTGGCATTTAATTCTTATTTAATTCTGTAAGGCTTTAGAAGTTAAATGCTGTCAGAGAAGAATTTGTAGAAAAGCTCAGTTTTTGAGTTGCATTTGTGTTTTTATTCTGAGCTTGTCAAATGAAAAGTGAGTTTTGTCAGTCTTCATAGTGGCAGCAGGACCACACCAGAAGAGGACAGAGCTGGCCTTGCTGTGTGCTCTGCAAGGACGTTCTTATTGATTGTGACCCATATTCATGCTGATGCAATGCTTATGTACTGAAGAGAAAAAGCAGTAGAGAAGCAGACAGGAATTCTGTTGCTGCACTGTTACTTTTGAGCATTTTCACATGAGCAATTTTGTAGTTGTGCAACATATAAAAAAGCCCTGAATGCTACTGTTTTACAGTGCTAATTTCTAGCTCTTTTTAGCTTGTGAGGCTGCAAGTTCTACTTTCTTGCCGCCTTAATTTCATAAGGAAGGTGGTGAATTTCCTAAACCAAGACTAGTTTATTTTCCAGGTGCAAGCCTGGGAGTGATGTTTTCTAAATGTTAACAGGTCCTAGAAGAATTACAACTGACTGGTCAAACTGTCAGGTTAGTTGTCATCAGCTCTTTTTTTTTTTATCACGATTTTGCTTTTTCTTCTACTTGTGTACTTTTCATTGTTTTATAAGTTTAGGCTGATTATGTAGGCTTGGTTTATTGTATGAGTTCACCAACTACTGATAAAATAAATGGAACGCACACATTAAAGTAGTGTAAAGCAAAGAATTTCAGCTTTCCATCAGAATTAAGTACTTGTTTCTGGCTTTGAACATTCATGAGTTATCAACTTTTAAAATAGCAGTGCCTCATCCACTTATCTTTGGGACTTCTTCAGCATTAGAAACATGTAATTCCTGATTTTAGACTAATATATTTTCTTAGTCTCCACAGACAAAGTTTGCAAGCAGTTCTGAGGGCCCATTTCAGATGCTGAAGTGGGTGAGAGAGAGAGATCTCTCCAGTAGTTCAGAGCTTGCTTCTGTGAGGGTCAATTCTGAGTAGGATTCATGCATCCAGGGGTTTTAAGTGATTTATCCAAATTACTTTAAATTCAACCTTAATTAGTCTAAATTCAAATGCTGTTCCTTTGGTTTGTACTAATTTTAAAAGTGCAAAGTACTTTAATTCTAAATGAGAGCAACCACGGTTGAATTTAACAAGCTCATTGGTGAGTGGCTTTGCCTAATCAAAAAGGTTGTAAATTTGTCAGTCTAGACAAACCTGCAGATTCTGGTGGTGACAAGACTGGTCCCTGTTAAAACTGCTGATAAAGTTTCTAACAACTTCCCCAGAAGTCTCCATCTCAAAGCCAGTTCATTGATCATGTATTAAGCAGCCTTAAGACAGAATTCCACAGGCAATAGTAAATGTGAAGGAGAGTTGATTTTACATGGAACAGGGGCAATGTAACTCAGCTCTCAGTGCAAGTATTCTGATTATAGAGAGCGGTTTTGCCTCCTGAGATAAATATCACTTGCATTCAAGACTCTAATTTTGAATATTTCACTGAGCATAGTTCTCATTTCTTTTATATTTGTCTTATAATAGTCATATGAAGTATGTGCTTTCAGTGAAGTTACTCCAGATCTTCTTCTAGGTGAATTCTTATGAGAATTCCTACCTCAGGCTCTGACAAAATGTACACAGAGGTAACTGTGTCTGTGATACCAATTAAGTGTGGTGTATGCCTGCAATTCTTCTCCCTTTCTTTTAGACACAGATCCTTAGCCCCGGGATCTGACCAATACATTAATAGCAAGGCTTCACTCTGCTCTTCCTAAGTGTACCATGACTATCATGAGGAGGAGGAACAGCTGCACTAACACCCCACAATGTGAACAGCAAACATGTTCGTCCTTGGGCTTGCCATTTTCAGCACTGCAGGAAAGGAGACATTACTTCAGAGCCACTCCAACAGCTTATGGGAATGGACTCTTTGCTTATATGGGTTTACATGAAAAAATAGGCCTGTTCCTACTTAATTTAAGCACTTTTTTTCTTCTCAAAACAATATTAAAACCAGTAAGTTGTTAAGTCTTCATTTCAGTTTCTGACCTTTCAAAGCTTCAGTGTAGTTACTGCATTAAGCTGGAGCACAAACCAAAGATTACAGTGGACATTTTCTAAATTATTCTAGAGACGTGTTGTGGTGCATTCCAATAGTCACGTAGTGTTAGTTGAATGTCATTTGCCTTTTTTGGCATACTCAATTATAGACCTCTTAAACCTAAAAGTGCAATTTCTTGATCTCTATTGTCTATTTGTAAAACTGCCCTTTACAATTCTGATGAGAAATAGTCTGGTCACAGAGTACTGGTGAATAATCAACTTTATAGTCTGCAAATCCATTTTAAACATCTGTTGAACAACATAAGTGTGGAAGTTATCAGTTATAGCTAAATATACCCCAGATGCTTCCCCTCTGCCCTTGAAAGAAGCCAGTTTTTTTTTGGTCTTTCAGCTTTGAAGCAGAGGAAAAAAAATCACTTTATTGCACTACTGTTGTATGTTGTTTTAGCAAATATGATGAGTTCCTGGAAGACCAGTTAACTTTAATATTAATGAAGTGTGCTGTGTTGCATAGTGCCCTTTGTGAAGCTTGCTGATGTTTACAGTGGCTGCTTACAATGATAATTAGATGTTAAAGTGATGATCCTTGGATATCCACAAGGCTGTAAAGCATTCTCAAGGGATCAAGGCCCTGCAGAAGGAAGGATGATAACCTGCAATCTGAAGGTGAGGTAGAACAGTGCTTAGCCAATACCAATAGCTGAGTGTTTCCTGATAAGTAGAGAGTGTATTTTTAAAAGGTGGTTAATAAGTCATAGGTTCTTTCTTTGTATATAATTGCTTCTCCTAGAATAATGAAGGCTGTGAAAAGATGGGACATTTGCCGAGTAAAACTTACAGTGGTATGAAGTTGTGATGAAGTGCTGTTTATTTTCCTCTGTCAAAGTGCCTGGGCTCTGGCAGCCTGTTCTTTACTGTGTAAGTCCTTTGTTCTGGAGTTGGCCTCCTCTTGCACAGCTCCAGTTTGATGTGAGCCTACTTTTGAGGAGTCTTGAGAGGGCAGAGCTGAGGGGTGCCCTGGCCACTCACAGGAGGCCACTGATGTGGTTTGGTGTCAGCTCATCTTCCATGTCAGCTTTGGTAGAGCAGCAGATGGAAAGAAGCAATGGTTAGGTCTTCATGAGGCCTCTCAGTTCTGTCACAGGGCATCTGGTGGACTACTGTACAAGTGAAAAGCTGTCCCTTTTGTCTGGTCGTGTTTTTACTGGCTTGTGTCAGAAGTCAGGTGCTACAGATATGAAGTAGCCATGATTTTTAATGTATTTTCCTATACTGCTCATTCATTTCCCAGTTTGTTATGTGTGCATTTCTTGCCCTTCAGACTTTTCTTGCTATTCCTTTTTTTTTTTTACTTT